GGAAGTATGCTGGGCTTCAGTCGTACCACGATGCTCCTTCCAACTTCCTACGGAGGGCAAAACGCAAGGACGACAATAGTATCGAGGCAGTAGAGGATGCACTCACGGCGGAGATGGCACAGGCTTCGCCGCGAGACAATTGAGGTCGGACTATGGAAGGCGAGTAGTTACCTGGAGCTCCGGACATGGACTTCGCGTTCATCTATGTATAAAATACGATGTACAGATACCGAGCAAGACTGCTGCAGCCTTTGAAGTTTCTAAGACAAGAGGATTAGTCCCTTCGCTCTTACACCAACCCACGATATAGCATTCCAACACGCCGAGTAAAGCGCCAAATGACTTCACGCCCACACTACCCTTCGTTTCACCATGCCATCCATCCCTCACCCCACGAGTGATTCACCCGCCTATAGGTTTTCAGATACACTCACTTCCACCAACGCTCACAAAACCCCGTCGTCTTACTTCTTCTAAACCCTTCATCCAACACCCACCACCCACGCCTAGCATCTCAGCTAAGCTCATCTCACCTCACTCACGTTTCTCGCGAAACGTTCGCCTCGGGCCAGGCACGGGACATGGCCCGAGCAGAACACCAACCGACCGTGCGATGCGTAGTAAGCATTTTCCCTCAAGTACAAGTACCGCTCCGGCTGATTGGGCTAGCATGTGAGTCATGGGTGCTGACGAGACGGTGTTGGATGGGTGATGACGTTGGAGTGGGATGGAGGATTCGATAATGAATCTAGATCACATCTGGTGTAAGATCCAGGGAAGATAGTGTGGCGGTAGTTGGGGTGCTTGGTTCACATAGTGTGGAGGTAGTCCGTGTAGTGTGGGGGTAGTGCGAGGTTATGATGTGGGGTAGCGTGGTATCATGATGTCGGATGTAAGCTACTATGACCAGTATGATGTCGTAGCGTGCCGGATACAAGCTGAGTTTGAGTATGGAATTCAGGGTTGAATGCTTGTAGTGGAAGAGACGTGCCTGACTGTTTCGGGTGTGGGGACTAGTGAAGTTTGTTGTCGAGACTGGGACATCGTGGTATGGGAGTGGGAAGGGGTTGATGAAGCTGTCTGGGGGATAGGTTGTGTTGTGAGTGAGCTTGATAGTTTGTGGTGACGTCGTTTGATGGATGCATTGTTTTGCGTGTATACCGGGTAGTTTTTTTTGACGACGGTGTTCCAAGGACACGTTGTGTTTGACGTGCAATTAAAAGTATTCAATACTGTCATTGGAGAAATAGGAACGGGTCGAAAATGAATATAGAGTTGGGTATATATTTAATTGATGCATATCTCATTACCGAATAGTAAAAGCCAGCCAGCCTCGCGGCTATGTAGCCGTCTGCACCGGAGCCCACATCTAAACCCTCCTCCAGGAAAAAGTGCCAAAATACAGTATAGTATTGCAAGTCGCAAAATTCAACAGGGAATAAGAAGCAAAACAAAGAGTGGTGAAGAATACTGTGAAACCGAGAATCAAGACACGCAGCGATCAACGCGCAAAAGAGCCATACCAATGTACAACCCGAAGCATACAACGCCACATCAAGTACCCAAACCAAGCCCGCTAAGTGCAAAGAAGTAAGAAGATGGAAGAGGAGAGCGAGGCGCTCTAGTTCGAGCCTGAGCTACCCCTCCGGCTGTCGGCTGGTGTGCTGGGGAAGCTGAAGTCGACGGGCGATGGCGGTGGTGCAGGGGTCTCGTTGACCTCCATGGAGCGCGAGCTCAGGCTTGATGATGCCTTGAAAGCTGCGCTGACATCGTGACCGAGAGTTGAGTTTGTGAAGATGGAGAGGCGCTGGCGGGGGTTCAATGCGGAGGCTGCTGAGGCGGGCATCTTGTTGGTTGTTTGTGTGGTTTTGTGAAGGTGAAGGTTTGTTTGTTTATGTAGATCGATGTACTCGGTACGTAGACGACGATGAATCTTGTAGGGAGTAACAAGGAAGACTGGCGGGTGAAATGGAGGGTGTCCGGAACAGTCGATTAAATAGTTCGCAGCGGAAGCCGAAAAGCTGGTACGGGCCGGAAGTATCGATGCGCTGGTGCAATGCAAGGTAGGAAGTGCAAGTTTCGCTCGGGGGAAGGCGCAAAAGATATGTGATGTGCTGTCTCGGGCTGTGACAACAACTAAAACTTCGGGGGGCTGACTCGGTTACGAAGACGGGGGTGTGAGCCTAAGGAAGGGTGAGTCAGATTTAATATATCAGGGTAGAATGCGCTGAGGGCGAGGGGCTGTTTGCGACAGGGCTGATGTGTGGTTTGTGCGTTGGCCATGCAGGGCCGCCATATTTGGCGGAGCCCCGGACTTGAGGTGCTCGGGTATGGGGAAGAGTGTTGCGTAGGGGGCTGGGCTTACTTTTTGGTAGGTGCGTGTCACTGGGCGAGGCGTGTTACACAAGTTCGGTGTTGTAGAAGGCTCGTGTGTGAGGAATGCTTTGGTGGTGTGTTTGAAGAAAGCAAAGAGGTTTGACGTAGATGTGGTTTTTGAGTATCAAGTAGTATTGGGCTTTGGGCTGAGTTGTGCTTTGCGATGTGTTGGAGAGGGCGATACCGCGCCGAAGGGGGTAGCTCTCTTATACAAGACGGAGTACAAGACCAAAGTACTGATACGATCGCTATTCACCGCCGAAAAGACAAACCCTGACTCGCATCATTAGCCAGGGTAGTAACGGAATCTCGGAAGGGCCATACGTTTTGAGCTAAAAGCAAAAGTATAATCAGCAATCAAATGCGGCGGCAACACGGGGAAGCGGACGGTTGCAACTCCTTGCTTCGCAACCATCGTTGCACCTGGCGCGCAGAGTCCACCCCACGCCCTGATCCTGTTCCAGGGTCGCAGAATCAAGGCTGTTCTGGGGCGTCCTGTCATCATCGACGTGTCTGAGACGATGTTCTCGAAGCGAGGATGCGACAAACAAGGCGCACAAGCCCTCAGGCCCTTCTGCAGCCTCCTACGCATTCCTCGACAGCATCAGGAGCTTGCTGGGTAAAGAAAGGGTGCCTATCGCTGTATCGTAGACGGCCCGAACCAGCAAACCAATACCTTGCGATACACGGCGGCGGTCCGCGGGTAGGAGCCGACAAGCGTATGACGTGGGCCAGCAAGACACCACAGTGTCCTTTGGGCGGCTGTCGCAAGCAAGGCATCATCAAAGCCGGACCGAACAAGTCAATTCTCTGACCGCTTGTCCGATATGCAAGTGTATGCACATCCCACGCGAGGGCTTGCGGCAGAGCAAGATGGGGTAAGTGGAGCTTCCGGGCTGCATTCCCCGGATACCAGCAGGCTGGGATTCGCCCACTCGAAAAGGAAGACGAGGCGTCTGGAACTTTGTCTCTCCACCTTTGATCAGCGGGATGCGCATTACTGCTTGATTTCTTGATGCCCATCCAGGCACAGCCTTTCGCATTCGCAACGGCTTTTTCTACCGCTTATCATCGACTCATGCTCCCTGTGAGTCGGACGCACCCAGATAGGCAAGCCGTTTTGGGTTGCGACGCGGAAAATAATCTCTGCAATGCAACGGTTGCCCGGCTGGAATGAGCCTTCGAGAACGCTGTTGGAAGGACGCTCGAGCCGACAGGTGTCACGACCAAGGCGTCACTGACATTTGTGCCATCGTGCCGCCCCTTTTCTACCGGTCGAAATTGCGGCAGAAGAGTGACATCTCAGATCTCAGACCTCTCTCCGTCCTGCGTTGGCCGCCCTGCGCAAGGCTAATCCAAGTTGTTCTCGCCAAAGGTCCAAGGAATCGCTGATCGAAGACTGATCGAACAGGTTTGGCGCCGCAAAAACTCGTGTCAGCGCCAGTCGCGTTGCGATCTCGATGCGCGACGCGTCCTCTGCAAACAGTCTTCTCTCCGCATCATCCGAACCATGAGTCCATGTTGTCGTTGAATATATCGACATTATTACCGGGCGACTATTCCTGGCGCGAACTTTCTTTGCTTCTTCGTGTCTAGCAATAGCCTGAGCCAAGCTCGCCTGTCATGGCATCATATTGTCGAGACGCCGAATAGGAAGCCATGGAAGCCGCGGGTTAGACGCGAGCTAACGCGACCTCAACGTCGTTTCATCGTTGGTAATACGACGTAGCCATTGCTCTTTGGCAACATCCGACATGTTTCGTCCAAGCCTTATCCTCGCCGCCCGCTTTCCCCGGACTGGCGTATAGCCTGATCTGGGGAAATTGATCCTCGTCCTTGCCTTAGCCCTTGGTGGATCAAACTTCCCCCCGCTATACTGCGCAACGTTGCTTACCGGGACCACGGAGGGCAGGTCGTACGATGCCGCGCCGCGTCGCGCATACGTAAATTTGTGTCGCATCCGAAAGCGGGTTGTGCCATTAGCGAGATGGTGATTCTGAGATGTCGCTGTGGTTTCCCGATCGTCTGCAGCGTCCCGACGATATTCCGCGCGTTATCTGACCGACTGTTGAAGGGCTTTCACCGCAACTTGATCGACGACGCGACGGGAAAAAAGTGAGAGAAAGTGGAGTGGGCCGTAGACGAGGTGTAAAGAGAGGGGAATGAGGCTTCGCGTCAATAGGCGCACCTTCCTTGGGTGGTTTTGATAGTTGAGGGAAGCGACACCTACAGGGACCACAACCGACCTACACGCTGGACTCACTTCAATAGCCAAACGTCAATAGTGAACGATTCTGGTATGTTTGCCCCGTTAGACGACATCAGGTAGGCACATGTCGTTTTGCGCAATTAGTTCAGCAGCATGGTCTTTGTCGCTGATGCAAGCCTATGTCGTCGCGTTGGTGAACGCGGGGATGTAGCGGTATGAGAGCGCTCGCCTGACGACCGTTTGCTGTCGCGATTTGGGGGGAATTCCTCTCACTTGCGCCTGTTTGCGAAAACCGGCGCTGCAGCTAGAGTCATTTTCTTCTACGTCTGCGCACAACGATGCAATCTTTTCTCAATTTCCTCGCCTCTCTTTTGAAGCTCTGAATCTGTCATCATCATCGCCAATCGAACCAGACATGGAGTCGGCCGATCAGTACCGGCAGCGGCTGCAATCACTCCAATCTCTGCCCGAACCCGAAGCATCTGAGGCACTGCGCCAAGCGCTACTCAAAGGTACAAGGTCTGGCGGTCTTACATTCACAAGAGCAACTATCTTCACTACTTCGAGCACGTACACCATTACTTCGGCTGCCCAGAAGACGACCCATGCGACAAGGACATACAGAAGGAACCATTATGTTGGGAGAAAGCCCTCATGATCCCGGTGAAGCACATCATCGATGAGAACGCCAAGTGCGATGCCCTGGTGGCCAACCTTATGGTTTGGTCAACTCTTTGTTATATCGTAATGAAGTTCGAAGGCGACATTCGCGCGCGTTGGCTCAAGAAGTCTAAGGCGCAGCGGAAGGCCATCCTCGAAAAGGCTTGGCCATCACAGCTACCAAAGAATCATCGCCCCGATATCGACAGGTCCGTTCTTAATGCGTGCCCGCACCAGAGGCATTCGCATGGCCTGGCGCAGTACGCCTTTCCCCATCTCAACCTTGAGGATCTCACCAAGCCGCATCCGTTGCTCATCCTTCTTAACGCACGTGGCCGACACGCAATGTGGAAATTCGCCCTTCTGGATTACGAGTTGGCTCCTCTGGTTCATATACGATCAGCACTTCTCGAGAAGACAAAGTACACTATGCAGCTGAACTTAGGAGGATATGGGCAGATAGTTCAGTGGAATACGGAAGAGGACGCCGCTGAATCGATGAGCAGAGGGGATACCATACATCCTTTGCCTGGCTCACACATTATGGCGATGCAGAACATGGTATACCAATTCCTTCAACTCTGTGTTGGCGAAATCTTGTCAGATAACGCTATGGTGCGACTAGCCATCACCGAGCAATCGTGCGTAAATCTACCTCAGTTCGACGAACCTGCTCCTGATTCACCCGAGCCTCCAGCTCTCACTTGCAGCGACCAGGACTTCACCTCGCTCAATGCTATCGTACGCGAAGCATGCTATCGTGTACCCACATTGGAAGATCTCGGTCGACTCGAAACACTGGTGTCGGCATGTCAGAATGCGACGGAAGACCACATCTGGTTGCTCCGAGAGGATCCAGGATACTTTCGAGAGTCTACACTTGAATGCAAAGAACATCGGCCTGAGCTACTGCCAGGTATTCGTTGCAAACAAACACACAGGAGTGCGCGCAACGAAGTTCTTTGGCCTCGTGTGTTACATAGTATGGCCACCGACTGCTACATTGATCTGTTCATGTGGAACGAACTACGTCAACGTATATCTGAGCTCAATCGTCTTTCCTTGCTATACAAAGACGGGCTTGGGTTTGGGACGCTTGGTGGCAAAGAAGAGCTCCCGAAAGACTTCTCAGAGTCACTCGTTGAAGCATGGTCTTTTCTAGAATTCTTCCAATTGGAAATCATACAAGAGCTGAGGGCAGCCTGGTCATCCTCTTTAGAAATTCGCGCCTATTTCTCCCAAGAATGCGATCACAGTGTGGAAGATATGGTGGTGGGTATCAAATTCACCGGCAAAGGTAGTCGCAAACGAGACAAAGAACTGGAGCGCGTCTTCACTCTTTTCAAGTATCTTTGGGAGCCACCCGTCCGACAGTCGTTAAAGGTGCACACTCTGGTGGAGGCACTGGACAACCTCCTGCAAAATAACGAGCGAGCGAGGGACTTGACTTCCCCATTCGCAGCTTCCCTCCTTTCAAAGCTTTCCATAGTCTCGGAATGTCTTCGTCAACTCAGCTTCTTCCTACCATGGGCAAAGCGAGTTCATTATCTAGCCAAACAGCGACAGACAGAGCTCATGACAGCCTATGCTATCAACCTCTCTTGGTGGCACTCAACTTTGAGCACAACCTTCGAGGGAACCAACCTCGCTGATCTTGGGAAGCCAGGCGCAAGGTTTCGCTATCCAGTCAACAAGCGACGAAGCAGGATGACCGTCGAAAATCTCAGGAGTGCAGAGGCGGCCCTGGACGCGTTCTGGCATGCTGCAGATGTTCGATTTAGAGAATGTACTGGTACTACGCCTCGCGACATAGTCTCCGGTCTTATCAAGGAGCGTACTCTACAGCGCACGCCGCTTTGGGTCGAGCCCGAGGAGGCTTCAAACTCCTCTGCGCCAATTGAATACGTATACGTTCCAGTCTCCAATGACTTCCACGACCCTACAAAGCAGATCACCGGCGCATTTGACAAGATCAATCTGAGCAATACCAACAAAGCAAAGTCTCATGGTCTGGCAGCCCTCAACACCGAGGATGGTCATGAGAACAACCCGAACGTGCCAGAAGCCCCCACCAACATCGACGAACAACCGACTTTCCGTCTCGATAAGCGCGCGCACAAAGTCTTCAAGGTCTTTTCCATTCACCACTTTCGCGCGACCATCCTGGTGATATCCCCTGGCACGACTTCCTATACGCCATGGTAGCTACTGGATTCGCCGCACAGAAGCTGCAAGGCTCCGCCTGGCAGTTCACCCCGCGAGACCTAGATGTAGAGCAGCCCATCCAGTTCCATGAGCCTCACCCGACACACAAGCTGCCTTTCACATGGGCTCGACGCTTCGGTCGGCGTCTTGTGAGGACGTACGGCTGGAGAGGTGATATGTTTCAGCTCGCTTGAATATCTCTTCCTGAGGGACGATGTAGGGGAAACCCTATTCGTCGCACTTGTGTTGGGGTGTCATTCACGGTTACGGCGTTCATAGACTCTGGGTCTAAGAACTTCACTCAAGATGTAGACTGATGATAGACGGGTCGATGGGTCGATGGGTCGGCGCTGGATGGGTGCAAGGTCAAACATTATGCTAGAAGAAATTACGTAGGCATGTAATCATCTGTGGAGATATCGGACGTAAGTAGCTCAATGTTATCCCTTCCATTATTTGGCCAGTTCTCGGTGACTACCTGCATTGCGATGGCTCTAAACGCCCCGGAAATGTGATCTCGATTTACCTGAAGTACCATTCATGGTGACTGCCATCGGACTGACTTCGTACTACCTTGATGAGTGCCAGCGCCAGCGGCACATTGCTGACGGCATTAGTCCGTTTCATATTGACACTGCCATCGAGTTCAACGCACGCGAGGCTGCTGTGCCATGCACCTGAAATCTCTCTACGCAAGGCGGAGAGAAGGATTCAGATGCAGGTGCAAACGAGTGAGCCTACTCTATTTTGGGGCGTGTCAGAGTGGGGCCACAGTGGGCCAATCACGTCGGTCTTGCTGTCTGACATAATCGCCTAGCGCTCTCACGGGTAAAATGAGCTCACATTACGGCACAGAACCACATCACTTTCCCCCCACTTCTTCGTCGACAGTAGGTGCCGCCGCCACAAGTTTGCATCGGTTGTCGTCGATTCCGGTCGCAGATTCATTGTGCTTCATTCGAATCAGGTCCAAAGCGACCTCATCATGGATAGTGCTCAAGACAGGTATGCTGTCATAGCTTCTAGGCGCCGACTTCTACGTTTGAACATGGTCTTTCTTTGGACATCAAGACGGCGAAGTAAAACTCCAAGTATAGCAGGATCGTAATCTCGAGCGTCGCAATATGTCTATAAGAGCGGGCACACACTGAACTGTTGCTATCTTCCATTGAGCCATCTCACATCTAAAAGATCCCACAATCTTTTTACTACCAAACTCCTCCATACATTTTGTCCCAAGAACTTTGTTCCATCAATTTCACATCATGCGCTTTCGCTTCTTGTTCCTTGCGTTGATACCAGCGGTCATTGCAAGTCCGTCTCCTGACGGGAACAACAGGGAGGTCGACATCTCTTCAAACGTGGAACCAATTACAGCCACTGTCTTCGTATACCCATCCACCGATGAATTCAGTCGTGATCGCCAGGATGAAGAGACTGAGTGCAACTTAGAGGCTTTCTACGGAGATCGTGTCGAAAAAACCCACGATTCCAATGGAAAGCCGTGTTGGAAGTTGTCCCTGATCGAAGGCGAGACGATTGATGATCTCCGGGGTTGGAGAGACATCGATATCCCCGGTGTGAGCTACGAGGAGCGGAAACTGAGATTCACGAAGAGGAAGGTACCTCCAAAACCGCCAACATATTGGGCAGTAGCCAAGGATCCGGATGCCACCGAGGAGAATGCAAAGATTTTCGCGTACCTCAAGACCAAGACCAAGCCTGGGGAGGATATCTATGAGCTCACGTGTTACGGAGGACTGAGATGGGGCCCGCTGGATTTGAGTCCAGAGGGCGTTTTGGAAGTTACGCAGCATCCCGGCATCCTCCCAGAATTACATGTATCGCTGCCGCTCATCAAATGCCGAGCTGTTTCTAGAGATACATCGCACTATTCCAATCTCACTGGCAACGACGAGTTATCATCATCATTGTACGACCCAACAAAGATGATCGCGAAGAGATCGATCACTTGGAAGAGACAACAAAGAGCCACGAAGGATTTGATGGAGGACAGCAGGTACGAGTAAGTGTGGTAAAACCTTGAAATCACTGCGACAGCTGACTAAGCTTCCTAGTGGCTTGGGTGGTAACCTGAAAAGCTTCATCTACGATGCCAACGCCGGAAAGGGCACTTGGATATACGTCATTGACCAGGGTGTGGCAGTTGGCGTAACTAATGTTCGTGGCTCTGCTGTGTGCCTCTAGACTACGCTGACTCAGACGCGCCAGGGCAACCTCAAGGATAAACACGAACTCGTCGTTGATGTAGAGGACATTCTACAGACCGAAGCCTCCAAGTTGAAGGGGCAGTCGAGAGACACAGATGACGACGCACCACCTGAAGGCACTCCTGCGGAAGGCTCACACGGTACAATGATGGCTTGTAAAGCTGCGGGGAAACGATATGGCATAGCTAAGCAAGCCAAGATTGTCCCTGTCAAGATACTCCATACCGCCGATGATCTCCTCGTAGGGTTGAAAATCGCTTTCGCCGACATACGCGACAAAGGTCGAGCTCTCAAGAGTGTTGTCGTGGTTTCTCAAGCCGTTCCTGGGTCCACTACGCGCGACCAGGCTTTGAAAACCGAGAGAAGAAGAGATTTCTTGAACGCAATCAACGATATCATTGCACTTGGCACACCAGTCGTCCTTGCAGCGGGCAATGAGCGTGATGCAGATGAGGGCACACGCGAGGACATCGATTTGCTGCCGCAGGTTTTGGAACATCCGGATATGACGCCCATCATCAATGTCGGTGCCGCGACAATCTCGGGAGATCGAGTCGAAGACTCGCAGGGGGGACCTCAGCTATCTATTTACGCGCCTGGCAACCTGGTCTTTTCTCTTACGAGGGACAGCAGAAGTGAAATCTTCCAGGGCACCTCCGTCGGTAAGCTACTTTGCCCGTACCCATGATAGGATCGCTAACTATACATATAGCTGCTCCTGCTGTTGGAGGACTTATTGCGACATACTTAGGAATGGAGGATATCCCTTCCGAGTTCCGTGACTCAACCGGAATTGAGCGAGTCAAAGCGATTCGTGAATACCTCAAGTCCGACAAGTCAAGCTGGGTGCATAAACCAGGGACCGAGGTTCGCATGATCTGGAACGGAGCAGACGAAGACGCACATCGCGTCAGATTCGATTGTTACCCGGAGGTCAGTAGCGAGGATGATGGTACCGGATCCAGTGACTGTCTTGAATACATGCCTGCAACCCCGCCAGTTGTTCCGGCTCCCGAGCCAGAGTCCGTATCGGCTGGCTGCAGCGTCAAACCGTCGTTCGGTGGTGGGGAGTATACTGTATGGGGGGCAGGGTGGGCAGACGACGATGGCGCGAGACTAAAGCAAGACCTTGGTGGTGCCGGCGGCGGAGTCCAAGACTTCGTCTTCAATCGAGGTGCCGGAGATGGAGGACGTGAGTGGACGGCTACATTCGTCGGCTTGTTTGAAGCTTTGGCTGCTGAGGGTGTCATCGATGCTGTTGCAGGTCATGGAGTCAACGTGGTGTGTGCTGCTGCTTGAGCATACGATTGCTCGACCCAGCTGCTCCGTTTTGGAAAGTTGGCAAGCACTTTTCTTTCTGTCTTGCTTTGATCGGTCTTTTCTTCGGTCATTATCTTGGGTATCTGGGGCGATTGCTTTCATTCTAAGAGAGACAATTTACCTGTTCATGTCATGCCTAGCAGCGCTTGCACTGCGATTGCTGTTGCCAGGGTATCTGCCTTCGTCCTTGTTTGCCACCTCTGTAAGAATGACTGAACACTTCTCTTTGGCGTGTTCTTCTCGATTATACACAAGCGCCAATAACTGTAGAACTAGTCCAAGATCAGTTAAATTGTCCACCCCCTCCGAGCAGCGGGTCGCCCTCAGGAGGGGTAGACGGCGCTGTTGTCGTAATGCAAGGCCGCCACCTCTTTGCTGCCTGTCGAATTCACTATCACCCACAATGTATATATCTACTCGCTTTAAGAGTCTTGGTATTATATACATAACGATCATCAGAAAATCTATCCGGTCATTGCCAGAAGATATCTCCCACTGCCACTGGCCTTCACGAAAGGCAAATAGTCACTCTCAACATGCCCACTTCCGCCCCAACCAGGAGCCTGAACGAGATCCTCGCTATCATTCACAACCCCAACTTGACAACTGGCTACCCCATCGGCGAAATCACGTACTACGCTAAGAACCTTGGAGCCGAAATCGTTCACAAACAAATCCAGCTACGCAACATCCTGTCGCCACAGTCAGGGGTTTTCGCAACACGCTGGGCTACGAAAAGAGCGCACCAACGAGTTGGAATACTCCAGCGAGTATACCCCGATATTCCCAGATGTCATCGTCCAGAGTGCTTCGGCGAGGACGGCTACCACTCCCTGGTGGCCTTTTCTGGCGTACCTTCTTTGGAACGAACTCTACCGTTCATCAACCTTGAGGACTTGGGCGACAAGACAACACTCTCAGCTCTAGTCGAGGCTCGCAGTCGTCAGCCGCCTCATACTTTTGCCACAACCGAGCGCTTATTCATGCCTTTGGGCTTTACGGACGATCATCGCGCGCTCTCACATGTGATTCGCCTCTGCGATAGGGACGGATACGGCGAATCGGAAGGATTTGAGAGTGTCACTGAGGCTGTAGACTTTGTAGACGATGGATTTGGCTTAGACCTTGGCAATGGTCTTCAAGTTCTACACGCTCAACAGTTCCTCTACTCTTTCTTGCTCCAGTGCGTTCGAATCGTCTTGTCGGATCATTTGGAACTATTCGAGACTGAGATCGATGACCCAGAGCCTGACGCGCTGGACATCGTTGATGAAGAGGATAAGGACATTGCGTTCTCCGAGGCTACTGCCATGACACCTTACCGTGGTCGCCATGGTCTTCATCTACACAGACTACGTCGCTGGACGTCGAACGCAGCCAATACGGCCAAGGATGAGATCTGGCAACTTCGCGAAGATCCATCGCAGTTCGAAAAAGCCTACAACAGTGCTGTCGACCATGACGTTGCTCAGGTGGCCGATCGCCACGGGAAAGCGCATCCTAATATCAAGAGCAAAGGCTTCGTCGCTAGCACCCTGAACATTCTAGTGGCTCGTCGTCACCGACGGTTGGTATGTTGGGATCAACTTGACGCTTATGCTTGGCGTATCGGTGAGCTTTTCTCTCTCCACCCGGAAGGTGTGCGCGCTTGGTCACTCGAACCCGAAGAACTCGTGGAGGCTATCCAGTCGTTCCACGTGCTACTCGAGCTCATGAAGCGAGACGTTCTCGAAGAAATGAGTCGATATTCGGCTAGCGAAGAACTTCGATCGCAGTTTGTGAGGCTTCCGCTGTCAACCGGATCACACCTGTCAGCACACAAGAACTTCATGAAAGATCAGAACAAGAAGGAGATTTGCCTTCTTCTTCAAGAGTTATGTGGTGAACTCAACAACAAGAGCGAGCATACAACGTCTTTTCTTGAAATCCGAGTACGTCTTGATATCTTAGAGACTTTCCTTCAAAAGAAGCCCAAATTACGAGACCTGCTTAGCACGACGATCAAAGAGGCAATTGCACGGCTCTCGGTTCTGACGGAGTGCTCACATCTCCTTGAACTTCAACCGTGGAACTTCAAAGTCTGGAAGATGCTAGCAGTGACCGAAAGCGTCAAAGCCAGGGTCAACTCACGTGTGGCTGAGCCCTTGCAGGTGTGGGACCGTGTCCTCATAGCGGCCATGGATACTGGGTTTATCACTTCCCCAGAACTTGGTGATCCTTCCGATGGAAAGTTCACGTACCCTTACGAAGAAAGCAGACGGAAGAAGAAGGTAATTGATGCGCTGCGTAAAGCAGAGGCCAATTTAGACAGGTTCTGGAGAAGCTTTGATACGGATTTTCGGAACCGATCTGGAGGAGAGGACCAGGAGACCCTCCGCCGCCTTCTCGAAGAGCGTGGTGCTATGCGGCGAACAAAAGCGTGGGTAAACGATCGTCCCGAGAAAGAGACCGGTCACCTCTCTGCGGAAGATGTTTTCGAACCTCAGCCGGTATCTCAGATCTTCCACGACCCATCGAAAGAAATTACGGGAAACCTGGATAAATTTGCCATAGCAAAGAAAGCAAAAGACAAAACCCGTGGAACAGCTGCCGCCGTGCCCGCCGACGAGCCTGACATTGAAGATGAGCCCGCTCCCGATACGTTTGTCGATCCTCTTCGGCCGTGGACCCGTCTCGGAGACAATTCATATAAGGTTCTCAAAGCGCTTTTCTTCATCCCAGATGAAGACAAAGTACCAGGAGTGACCAAGTGGGCTGCTTTCCGTACGACGATGACCCATCTTGGCTTCTCCGCTGAACAAATGCAAGGTTCTGCGTGGCAGTTCACTCCATCGGAGCAGCTCAGACAGGACAGAAGTCTTGACAGGGGCATCTGTTTCCATGAGCCTCATCCGGGCAACGAGATGTCGCTTGCCATGATGCGGACGTTGGGTGCAAGGCTGACTCGCGCGTATGGTTGGGATGGCTCGATGTTCAACCAACAATAAGGTTGTCGATATAAACAACACGCGGTTCACTATCTTACACCAGCGAGATGTACGCTATCATCAATCTCGCGCGAATAACGAGTTGCCGCTAAAGAGAGCGAGGATCCTTGGTCGGAGGCTGACGCGGGCTTGCAATCGGGATAGCATCATGTTCGTACTATCGCGAGTGGAAAAACGCAGCGTCCATCTCGCGAGACAATTCTGAAAAACAGGATTGCGGGTAGTAGTAGGTTACATTCGCACAATAGGTTTGACAATGTCTAGCATCTAGTCGCGCTGGAACGCGTCGGAGCCAATGAGATCAGCGCAATATAAATGTGCAGCATGCATTTGGCTGGCGATGTGACAGCTGCTGTTGTAGTGTTTAGCTTACCCAAAACCTTTAACGGTCCTTCATGAGTGCAGATAGCCGATAGTCGATAGAAGCTTTCGAAGTCGTGTTTTGTATATCGTTCACGAGATCGTCGATCGACAATTCCGCCCCCAAACGCTTTCCCCTTTGGGCTCTAGCGCTGACGCTGACCCCCTGTGGAACCTTGGCATCTCCTCCGCACTTCGCGACTTCCGTCTTATCGCATACAAACAGATCTCTCTCGCATTATTACTGGGCAAACACAGCCCGCGTCTTATATGTCTAACGGCTCTCAAGACTAAGAGGCTCTGCCAGGTAACCAGCGGAGATCGGGCCGCCATGAGTGGGTCGCCGGGCGTAACGAGGCTATGCTGCTGTTTGTGACCGCTGCATCCGCAGCGCGTAACATGGAGCCAAGTCTTCCTGGGGTTACTATGGTTGCCTGAATGCACTCAGCCTCTAGATATGTCTTCCCCAAATACCTAGGTACTCTGCGCGATCTACAATTCCAGTCAGACTGCCTAATGACCTGCGTGGGAGCCGCAATCCGGAGTTTAATGCGCAAACAGCATGTCGCATTCAAACACTAGTCCATCGTCAGAACCGCGCGAACGTTATTCATGGATATCGCTTCCTGAGAGCGATACCTTAAGCGGCATCACGCAGCATGAACACGCCGAACAGGGCGACGGCGTCGACCGCACTCGCAGGCCTGAAACCCGAGCTCAAGAGCAACGCGAACACACCGATTCGTCTCCTCATGCTGCTCAGGAAAACGAGACGCTTCTCTCCAGCCGAGCATCTACCGCACTCAGTGGAGCAATCGATGACCACTCGCTGGATGAGCCGCAAACAAGGAACTTCGATGATACCCATGAGCGTGAGTGCAACGCCGAGTACCCCAAGTTACTATGTCCGACATCTTCTGACGAGCTTAAAGCAAAGTTTCAAGATCAAAGCCTGCGGACATCCACAGATTGGGTGCCATACACGCTGCGGCGCCCATACCTGATCACTCTTAGCCTAGCATCACTCATACTCTCGACCGTATTAGCAGCCCTTAGCTGGCACTCTTATAAAAACCATGGACTCGGAGATGAGGATGGGTCTACTGGACTACTCATTGGATGGAGATATACGCCTACTATCGTCGCCATTTTCTTCACGCAGGCTGTTGTACAGGTTGCAGAGGATGTAAAGAGGACTGAAGCATACGCACGCATGGCCGGCCCCGAATCTATCGAAGCCAAGTTCACCCTATTCTATCTGCCCAAGGTCTGGTGGAAAAGCATCTTTGTAGGTTTCTCTCGAAAGCGGAGCGGCGGCCACCGGAGATGGAATCTGGCCTTGTCTTCGCTCGCAGCTGGTATCAGTGTGCTCAGCATTTCAACCTTCTCGTCGTCCGTATTCGTTGCGAAAGAAATCTTGTATGAGGAGGATGTGCAGCTTCAACGGTATGCCGCTGGCCAGACAATTGGCGAAGACTTGTCACCCATTCAGCTTTCACCTCGAAGGGATACGTATCTCCGAACTATAAGTGGATATCTCTTCAACGTATCTACATCTATCTGGTCGTCGAATTCGCAAGTCATTGTACCTTTTGGAGCATCAAATGGCGACAAGCGCCATGCAACGCTTCCGAACGGTATATGGCAAGCAGATACTGAGGTGTTCCATCTAAACTACAGTTGCACATCGATGGCTCTGGTCGAGAAGGACATAATCGATATTACCTACAAGTATACAGACATCCCGATAACGTCATGTCCAAACGACACATGTACTGTCTCCTCAAAGGGTTTCAAAGTTCGATCAGAGGATGGTTGTGAGGTCCAAATCCAAGGTCCAATCGCTCAATGGGATGCTTTGGGAGCCGAGTTGAACTCCGATGGCTTCATTAGCGATACCTTTACAGATGATGGTGGCTTGCTCTGGACCAACATGTCTTCCAATTACGTGTCGTGGGAGACACTTATTCGAGATTACGGTCAGCCTCCAGCAATTCGCTCCATTGGAGAGAAGGTCCTCGAGCAATGGTCTCGCACGTTCATTTATGGTTTCTCCGATCAATGCATTGGGCGTGACCTGCTACTTGTATCGCCTCAATGGATTGTCCGGCCGTCACCTGTCGATGTGCCCGTGGGTGTATGGGAGAAAGAATCATGGGACAACCTCACGATACGGGCACAAGTATGCACTCCGGAATATCATACAGCTAGCCTCCCAGTCTCTGCATCCATCGACGGCGCTGAAACTTCCATGTCCTTCGATGTATCAGAGTTTGAGCGACGCAGGCAGCCTGTGTCGAAACAAGCCATCGATTTCGACTTATTGGATGATCTCACTTTTCGCAGTGACAGTTGGGACAAGGTAAGTTCTGACTGTACGAAGTGCATGCGAGACATATACTGACATCGTACCTCTACCTCCAGTACATGGCCGTACCTCGTAATGTTCATGGTTCTTTTGAGGGTATATCGTTGCTTCTTGCTTCAACTTTCGCTCACAACGTATCCAATATTTTGGAGAACGTCACGTTAGAGGAAGAAGCTAGCAAACTTCGGATGCACTTCACAAAAGAGCTTTTGCTCTCTTCTCTCATAGAAGCCGACAACCCACAATTGGAAGATACAAAAGGGCTTGCTACACGCGTTAGGAGACGGATTCTGGTCGTCACTGAGGTTGCAATAACACTCGCAGTATTGTTCATGCTCTTGGCAGGCTACATTGCAGTAGCTGTATTCTACACATCGCCCAGGAAAAGACCACTCAACCTCCATTCAGATCCTACCACCGTTGCTGGAACATCATCCCTCCTTGGCAGTACTTCGCTTTCTTCTACCACGTTCAGTACATTCCTTGGATATGAAAGATCGCGCACGCAAGGTCTTATCCAATCACGGGTATATCATCTACAAGGCGGCATCATTTCAGAGAAGGAAACGACAGGGGAGTCGATTGAAGGTAGAAAGCCGAATGTACTCGGCAAGACAAGCGAGCTTTCAGTAAGCCATCCCAGATCAAAAGATGGCTCTCAAGATGACTGGAGGCCTTCAATGCTCCTCAAACGATGGCTTCTTACACTACTGGCTACTCTGATCGCTGTCGCAACAACCATGTTCGTTCTTCGCAGATATGCACGAGAAGATAAGCTTTCCCAGACTGCTTTTACCTACCAGGTCGATTTGGGTTTATTCGACACGTCGTTCTCTCCTCACTCTGTCGTTGCAACGCTAATCGCCGTTTGTATTGGATTGAGTTGGGATGGTATCGATAAACCTATGCGAATTCTGCAGCCATATCTCTCGTTGTCGCGGAAACCCGTTGTCCCAATACGAGGAGCATCGTTGACTTATCAGTCTTCATACTGGATATGGGCCGCGGCAAAATCAGCGTCGCGGAAACATTGGATGCTTTGTCTAATAACTACTGGTACAACCTTAACACAAATCCGTAAGCATTTTCTCGCTCCGTTGAGTCGTGTAGCTAACCGTGTAGTCATTATCTCCATGGCAGCCGTCTTCGAAAGACAGACCGCATTGATTAGTCGGGAAACTTGGGACCCATCACATATTGATACACTTTGGGTGACAGCACCTTTTGAGCTTCTACAAGAGCCTATCGACTTTTCCAACCCAGGCGAACGGACGCGCAATTTCGACTTAGACGAGCATATGTTGGACTCATCCAATATTCAGTGGCTCAACCACGCGTTGGACGAGATCCTTCTAGAAGCACCGCAACTGGCGTGGACTAAGGACGAATGGACGTTTACCCCACTTGATATGCAAGAGCTGCCAAACGTCACAGTGTCCTCGAAATCGCGTTCCGGTTCTGGTAGACATACAAGCTCCAATTCTATAGCGTCACCCGCAAACGCGTCTTTCATCACTTCCGCTATCCGAAGTCGATTAGAGTGCTCTCCGATCGCCGTACCAGACTCCGGCTGGCTTGACCAAGCCGCAGACGTTTTCCCCAATCGTACCAATGAAGCGCTACAAGGATTTGCATTACCAACTACTCTATTCGACGGCGAATCGTACAACACCTCTGTCTTCTCGGCCCGGAGACGGTTATCATGCTGTGCCAATGGCACAGATCCTGGTCAGCAAGCTGTCGTTGCGTATTGGAGCAGCAACAGCTCGATGATTGAACGTGTGGATCCCAATTTCTTCATACAAGAATGCACTTATGAACAACTTACCAATGGCAACTGCACGAGTGCCAATGCGCCGTCTGATTCCCTCAGCGAGGATGGACCAGAGGATGTCATCGTTCAAGGCTCTTGGTGCCGTAACTTTACCATCAAGTGGATCGTGGGGCCAGGTGTGACTGCGAAGATATCTGGAGCTAATCCAGCTGCGAACCCGAAGGTACAACAAATTAGCGCACCGTACGGCTCTGCAGATGAAGAGCTTCTCTACTTCACGGAAGAGCCCAAGATGGCTATAATGGACTGTATCATGGTCATCGAAAATACATCCGCCAGTGTTACTGTAGCTAGGAGTTCTGGGAACGTTTTGGACTACAGCTTGGTGGCGGACCCACAGCCTGCTCTGGACGCATGGGATTACGCCTGGGATATCCTGTACCCTAGTCCAACATCCTACACAGGAAGAGGAAATGTCAGGTAAGGCATCCATCCAGT